CTGGGGAGAGCCAGCCCAGGCAGTAGCAAATTAGCCGATCACGCAGCGCGCGCGGAAAGCAAGGTCTGACCGGGGGGAGGCAGCAAAAGTCCAGGGCTCTCTGTTCTAATTCCCCGTGAAAACTGTTGCCTCTGAAGTGTTTGCTCCAGTGTTTTGAACCTTTAAGCTCCCCGTTCCCTTTTTTCTTTTCGGCCCACACTGATTAGAGAATCCTGAAGTCGGGCAGCAATGTACTGCAGTAGAAAAGGTTTAGCTGGAGGAGGTTTTGATTGCAATTCCGTAGCCGCTCTGTAGTTCGTGTCCAGATACGTAACGTGACTCTGTGCGGCAATTAGAAACTATTGCGCGGCGTATTGCAGCCATGTGCACGGCCGCGCAAGCGCGCACCTTAGAGGGAACAATGATGCATGGATTAACGCCTGAACAATCAAGCAATAAACAATAATCTATACAAGGAATCAAGGAGAAAACATCACCCCCACCCCCACAAATTACTGCTTATAAACATAGACCAAACTCGCTTCTAACATTGAAGGTGTTACCTAGTCAGATAATGAAACTTCTGCAAACAAATGAAGTTCAAAGAGCACTACAAATTCCACAAATCTGTTTTCCCCAAACAACACATTCGATGTATTTATTCATATTAATTTGTGGGCCTTTGTCTAATGGTTTATATAGAGATGGTTGCAAAGAATGAATAAAAGTATTAATAAATACACTTGGAAACCTAAAACCCTTCTGTTTATCATAGTGCTAGATAAACTTTGTAAAGGGCATTCTTGCAAACATTATGAAGTGTGTTATCCCACAAAGCCCCAAGGGAGTTGCATGGCAGTAAACAATATGAGAATACCATTTATCCAAAACTGCACTGAAGGTCTTTGTCCCTAATTAGGCTGAGGAAAGCACTAAATGGAAGGAGGGGCAGAATGAGGAAAAAAATACCCATAAATGCAAGATGAATTCATTGGAATGTGGATTCCAGCTTACTTTGAACCTCTTTCAAAGAGGGAGAAAAAGATGCAAGCAGATTTCCCATGCTAGTAAGTTAACGGAAGCATCTGGAAAATTGTATCACATCAGTTGTGGACTGTGAACAAGGCTTAGCAATCGACAAGGGTATGTGCAGCCAAGAGAAGGGGTGAAAAAAATCACTGTGGAACTGCTCAAAGTCTACAGCTACCTGACGTTAATTTTTTCTTAAAAGAATGATAACATAAAATGATAACATTTTCGAAAGGAACCTAAATGGCCTCCTACAGTAAGTGTAAGGAAATCATGGGACTCCCTAGCTACTGATGACTACAACAACCCTCAGCAGCCTCAGCCAACAAGCATGTTAGTAAGAGGTGCTGGGATCTGTAGTTCTGTATTGTTTCCAAGCCTGCTCCTAGAATTTATAATGTAGCACATTTTGTATTGCAATTGTATTGCAATTAATTATAAGACACTTTGCAAATGCCTCTAACTATTCTGAAAATAATAACTCATCTATACTAACCAGTAAGGTATATTAATGAATAGAGGTACTTCTGTGCATCTGTTTCTAGTGTTTAGAAGTGTTTTTGTTTTGTTTTTCTGCTATTTCATGGAACAGTTAATATGTTTTGATTGTAGGACACTCCCTAATCCAGCAAAGGCTCTTTATAGTAGAATGAGAGAAAGATAATTTATGATGATTTCTCCTTCTGGTAGCCCCTAACTTTGCCTGATAATCTGCTCCACAGACCGGGGAGCAATTTGGGATTTTTGGAGGAAAAGGAACAAATAATCAGAAATCTCTGACTACATAATTCTGCTGGCTTTGAAGCCTGTTCCTTCAGTAGACATTTAGAAACTAGAAATCTGAGACCTATATGTCAATAAAGATTAAGTGTACTCAGTAGTTTCGGTGGTTGCCTAATCTATGCATCTCATAGGCTGAGCTGAGCCATGCTTATCTTGTATGCTTAGCATGTGACTCTGCGTAATCTCCCAAGAGTGAACAAAAACAAAAAAAAAAAACCCCACCCCTACTTACTCTGCACATCCTGAAAAGCCTTAAGATACTCCACAGTAAACAAGGGTTGTGGTAATTCTCGGATGAAGAGTTTCAGAAGGCTGGCTGCATCATGTTGTTTGACACTATCCCAGTTAAAAGTCCCTTCGTAAAACTTTGATTCCAGCTCTTGGCAAAGGTTCTAAGTGACACAGGAGAAAAAAACGCAGGTTGTGAAGGTGGCATTTCATATTTAAAAACATTGTACTTTACAACCTGCATGAAAAAAGTAGCGCATGAAATGTAATAAACTGTGTCACTTTCCCCCCTCTCATACATCAGGATTACTACGATATTTTCTAGGACTTTTACTAAAAATATGTAATTTTATGCTTTTTGTGTGTGCAATGCCATATACATCAGAAGACTGGATTTTCATTTTAACCATAGTGCCCTCACACACAGGGGGGAGGGGGGGCTGCAGCCGGTGCAGCTGGAGCATGCCTCCCGGTTTTGTTTTATTTTATTAATTTTTAGTACTCCCATTGGATCCTTTTTTATTTAATTAACATTTTTTGGTGGAGATAACAGCATAGAACATAATACAAACAAAAGCTTTTGTTGCTGCCGAGAATTAAATAAGCATTGTAGGTCTGCACATATTCTCCCCTTATTAGANTTCCAGGGTGCTCCTGGGGGCTGAGGAGGGCAAAAATGAGCAAAAAACAAGCCTTTTTTGCTCATTTTCTTCACCTCCCCCAGTCCCCAGGAGCACTCTATAATCCTCCTAAAGGCTATGCATGCCCTTTTTTGGACACAAAAAGAGCCTGTTTTCGCAAAAAATGTGTCGTTTTTGGAAAGTTTGCAGAGTGCAAAAACTTTTTTTTAATTTGCCTCTTCAAAATCTTGGTGCGTCTTATACTCTGGTGTGTCTTATACTCTGAAAAATATGGTATTTTAGTAATATGGCAAAGGGAGAGACTAAAGTAGCTTTTATTCTAGAGAATATATGGGTTAACAAAACACAGAAATTGTCACACTATCAGATTGTCCAAATTTTATTTATGTTTGCAAGGCCTAGCCCTAGATGCTTGCCAATTATTATGTTGCCCTCCAGAAGCCCTGGGGTGAATTACACAGGAAAAAATAACAATGGCAACTAAAATGCAGGGCCATTTTAATATAACTTCCCTCCCACATCATCCCACAACTCAATGCAGGAAATACATGCTGGAACTATCCTTTTAAGACGGGGTTGTCTATCCTCTACTATAAGAGAATGGAAAGAAGAAGAAAAAACTACCTTTTAAGATAATTGGTTCTATCATGTCCTTCCTGATTCTTTTGTAGGCAAAAGATATCAGGTTTCTTTCATTTTGTTCTCTGAACCTCCAAAATGAACATCTTAATTTTATGTCTCCAAAATCATTTGGATCCCAACTGAGCAACTTGCAGCAGACCTGGCTGATCAGAACGTGTGGTCGTTTTTAATTTAACAAGCAAACTTTTATTCTGGAATTATCAATGGCCAATCCTGATACTTAAAAATAACTAACCTTGAGTGTATCTCTGTTTCCCTCTGGGAGAAGAAGAACCAAAAGATTCAGTGCTTGCAGCTGATGTTTCTTGGTTGGAAGTTCTGCCAAGGAAATGTGCAAGTGTATCAATTTTGGAATGATTTTGCATTTTCTACAATGACATTACTGGACATGAAATTATATAATAAACCTCACTGAAACGCTGTGAAAGATTTAAATTATGACAATGGGTTAACAAAAGCTCCAGATTTCATGTTTTTCATGACTCAGCTACCAAGAGATTTATTAGGTCTCAAATAATGGCAACCTCTTTTCTTTTAGCTATTTTGTTTCATGGGCAATGCTTCCTGATATAAAAAAATATGTGATAAAAGAGAACACCTTCCCAGATGTATCTGCCATTTAGGCATATGAATTGGAGGGAGTTTATGATACTCAGTGAAACACAGTGGTCTTTCCTGTGCAAATTATTACCAAATAAATTGTGATGCTGATCCAGGAATACCAAACTCTACACGATTGCTAAAACTATCAGTAGGAGCCAACAGCAATGTTATTATCAGCAATGTTCAGGATGCTTAGAATTTCCCCCGCATATATTTTCTTTAATATTTTTATGTACTGTATAATCTAGCTTTCAGAACAGAAACTAAGCAAATTTGAAAAATGCCTGCTTGAAATACACTCAGTAAATGCACTTGTCAATTACAGAAAATATCTACATATACAAACAATGAGGATAGCCACAAAATTCTGAAAACCAGTCATGCAGACAGGGGGAATCAGATATAAATCAACCTTAAAACATTCTTACTCCTTGCACTTTCCACAGTACAGATATGTATATTCTGGCAGAATGATGTGAATCTTTTAGGTGAATGTAAACTAATAACTATGTCATAATATCAATTACTTAAGTGTCTCCCTTTAATTCACTGGAAGAGCTTATATAACAAATGCTGATAAGGCAATAAAAAAGATAGCATCTATAGCTGAAACTAACATGTAACTCTAGAAATAAAAATATCTGCCACACCACTGCTTCCTCATTTGCTAATAATTCTCAACATACTATCACAATAATCCATGCTTTTCCCACAAAGTATAGATTTCAAGCAGATTTGGCAATCAGTCATGAAAATGAAGTAACCAGAAGGAAAGGGACCATCTATACCAGGGATGTCAAACTCAAGGCCCGGGGGCCAGATCCAGCCCATGGGGTACTTAGATCTGGCCCATGGGGCCGCTCTGGAAATAGTGAAGGACTAGCTCACAGTGCTTCTGCCAGAAAAAATGGGCTCCTGAGCTCCGTTTTTGGCTGCCACGGCCACCTGCAACCTTCTGCCAGTGAAAACAGAGCTTGGGAGGGCCACATGCACTAACACTACCATACATCAAAAACATCCTAGAAATAACCAACAATTGTGACTATATAGCCTCACTATAGCAGAACTAAAGTTCTTCAAAACATCTTAAGTAAACCAAAAGACATGATAGCCCCCAAAAAAAAAAAAAAAAACAGACATCATCTTCATTCTACAGTGTAAGAATTGTAACAACAACTTTGTAGGACGCTAACAGAGCACATACAGGAACACCAATTAGTAATCAGAAGACACAATGAAAAGTCCTTAATTTTACCACATCTTAGACCAAGATAAATCCAAAAATGCTAATTCCTAGAAGCTTGGCAATCAGACAAATCAGCCATCAACAAACACATAGAAATAAATTATATTTACACAGCATTAAAAAAAACAATAAAAGAGCTAAGAAGAAAATAAAAACAATAGAACATCTCTCCAGCAATCAGCATCCAGATATGCATGGCAATTTTCTCTCTAATTTTTTTTCAGTGTGGGCGGAAAAGTATAGTGTTTGAGCAGCACATTTTCATGCCTGAGCACCTGAATTTTTTTCACAGATGTCACCCAAGAAAACAACGAAATCAGTATTATTTGAAAGTCAAAGTTATATTTATTCAAGATACACGTTTAATTAAAAGGGTTATATCAGTATCACTTATAATATTATTAAAATATTAAAATACTTGTATAACGTTTACGATAATGTACACTG